AGGATATGATGCATTAACTGTATATCCTTACATGTCAAAAAGCTGTTTTATTGAGATGTGACATTTCAAACAGTTTACATTCCATAAATATTTTTATTCTTTGCTCTCCTTTCAAAGTGTCTGTTCCCTTGGTGGCAGTATGTGTACAGAAGACTGGGTATACTTTATTAAATACCAGCACTCAGTATTTCAGACTTTGGGAATCATGTGGGTTTGGGGTTTTTTTTGCCATGTCTTCCTCCTCCCTCTTTTGTCCTGCTGCAATTCAGAGACTAAAACAGTCTCATCTCCCAGTGTACAGAGTATGGTCAGCACAGCCCCTGGGCTTTCCTAGACATGTAATTTGGATTGCCAGCTCAGAACTGGTATTCTCTAGCTGCCAGTCTTAAAAGTATAAATTGCTCTCACTTTAAAAATGATTGAATCCTTAAAGAAAATAGAGATTTGTCACTGGTTTCAGTGAAGCCAGGATCTCACCCTGGGCTTTAACAACTTCTATTGTGAATTGTAATAGTCGGATGTTGTTGTAGTAGTAGTAGTAGTACTTTTTAAAAATAATTTTGGATCACCAGACTTCTTGAGATCAGTTGAAGGTCTTCTGACATTTTTCTATCACACCAGTGTTTATTTGGCTGCTTCTTTTTCTGACACTGGACTTTTTCTCCTCTTCTGTGCCCCAGCCGTTCTGTCAGAATTTTATTTCTGCAGCAGTTATTAATCTGATTCCACTATCTCTTGATTCTTCTTACTCTCGTCATTTTGTCCTGACTTTATTGCCTCTTTATAGACTTTTTTCAGATTTCCATTGTAATTTCAGAAGGAGACAGTATTTAGAATGTGGAACATTTTTTGCTAATGAAAGTAGGAGTAAAACAACCAACCAAAAGCAAATTGCATTGCAAATATTTTTGATAATGAAGTAAACTAATACTCTTATGTTTTGTTTTCCAAATCAATGTATTGTTTCTTAGGCAGAGAATTTAGAATATGCTTTTGTATTACAGAACTGTGAAAGAAACCAACACGTCCACTGCTAGAAGCGTAGATGACCAATTCAAACAAAGCAATGACTTTCTTACTGTAATGTTTTAATGTATGTTTGAGCCTGCCCCAGACAACTAGTGTTTTTCCTGATGTTCTGAATACTGACCAGTTATTTATCTCATTTTAGCTAATAAAGTGTTGCTCCAATGGATAACTCAAAGTGAATGTCTGTAGAGCCAGTTTAACAAACAGGATATAAGAGGAGCACTCAGAGATGGCAAGGCAGGGAAGCTAAATTAATTCTTTGCATCATTATTCACTGGAAAAAGAAACAAGATATATGGTACCCCTTGGTGGTGATGGTGGTGAGAGTTAGTAGATATTTCTGAAATTAAAATAACTGTGAAAGAGGTTATGGGATGAATCTACAGTTAGATCATTAGCAGAATCAGAAACTATTCACAAAAGAATTCTGAGAGAACTCCAGGATGAAAAAGGTGAATTACTAGTAAGAGTGTGTAACCTCCCTTTTGAAATTGCTTTGGTACTTGAAGAGTGGAAGGTGGTAAATGTGGCACCAATCTTTTAAAAAAAAAAAAAAACTTGCAGGATAAATGTCGATAAAAAGATTATGCATGCTTTTAGTAATGGAAAATTCAACCTTACAAATCTCTTAGATCTTGGGTGTGTTTGTTGGTTTTTCTGAGAGACTCAGTAGGATAATGGTGATCCAGTTAATGCACTACATGCATGATTTCCAAGTAGCTTTTAGCAGAGTCCCTCACCACAGACTTTTAAGAAGTTCAGCAGATGTGGGATATGAGAGGAGGTCATGGTGTGTTTAAATAATTCACTGAAATGCAGGGAAGAGTGTTGGAGCTCTTTTGTCAGAGGGAGATCACCAGTGGAGTTCCATAAACATCTGTACTGGTTAGCATGTTCATAAGTTCACTGGAAAAGGGGTTGAGCAGCAAGGTAATTAATTTTGGTGGTGGTACTAAGTTATTTAAAGTAGAAAAGAAAGACTGACTGGAGAGTTACCGAAGATTGAGTGAATGGGCAATAAAATGGTGAATGAATTACAGTGTAAATAAATATAAAGTGATGAAGTTCTAAATCCCTGCATATCCAAAAGGCTAAATCACAGCTGGAGAAGACTGATACAAAGGGGAGAAGGGTCACCAGAAATACCAGAGCAACAGCTGGGTAGGCTGGGACTTCTCAACCTGGAAAAGGCTTCCTGGGGAGGCATGAGAGAAGTCTGCTAGATCACATGTGGAGTGGATAGGAACTGACTTTCTCTTCCAATCTGACAACTAGGCCATGGAGCTAATAAAAGACAGGCTGAAAATAATAATAAGCAGCATCTGGTTCATTATGTGGTGAGTAGTAGATGCATGGAATTCCTTACCAAGGAGTGTTGTGGATGCAAGATGTCTACATGGTTCTGAGGAAATCACCTGTACTGAAAGTAGTCAGAGACTGAGAAAACACAAAGGATGACAGTATTGTACATATTTGCTCACTTTTTACTCTTCCTCAGGCAGCTCTTTGTAGTGCTTGCTGGAGACAGAATACTGAGCTGCTTAGGCCACTAGCCTGAACTAATGCATCTGTTCATAAATGTCCATTTTTTTTTTCTCATTTTTCTCAAAAGGTGTTAAGAACTAGGAGTTACTAAGTCTTCGTATTAAAAGAAGCTTGTTCAAGGAAATTATCAGTAGATGTGCTCATGTATGTGAAAAGATCATTTATAGGCCAAGAGGAAGTATGTGAAGTGGGGAAAAGTGTGCCACTTCAAGTCACGTTTGAGATATGACAAAATTTGTAAGTGTGTGAAGAAGACGGGATTAGATTTTGCAAGTATTTTGAAGCAATTTCCAGCTGTAGGCAATTAAAGGGTGCAGCAAGGGAAATTATAAATGCTGCTACACAGTGCAATTTTAAATTAGTTGTAGATACATGATGTTATTTTTTAAAAAATAACTTCTTTAATTGCATGCCATTCCAAAAAATAGATTAATACCTCACGTAATTTTTGTGAAAATTATTCCTAGATGAACTGTTAATTTAATCTTGTAGATTAACGTTTTGTCATTAAATACATACTAAAAACACCAAACAGCTCAAAAATTGTGTGTGCTTATAGAGTTATCATTAACATTGTCTATGTAGTTCGTATGAGGAGTGACTGCTAGTTCAGTAGCAGCAGTTTGAAGTGAAAGGAAGTGTTTGAGTAGTGACCAGCATATTGTTTGTATGTGTCTCATACTGTGACTCAGTGATATGTTCTGCATTCTCTGTGAATTTAACCAGATATTTAAGAATCTTCTATTCCTATTTTTTGCTTTTTTGTTTCTAGGCTGCTTTTTATTTTGTGAAAATAAAAAAAATTCACAACATTTTCATAATGGAGTTTTACTGTCAACTTTAACTTTTCATAGGAATAAATGATGATAAATTTACATTTTAAGACTACTTTGGGAGGAATTTTTTAGAACTTCCTGCTACATTACCCCAGTTAACGGAACTGATTGTTATTTGCCTAGAAGGAGCTGACTTCAAAAAATGGGTGGTTGTTTTATTGGTACCGGATGGTAACAGAACATGACAAAAGTTACTTACAATACTTACTTTCTGCTTTTAAAATCTAGCTGAAAAGATTAAATTTAGATGTAGCTTAGGAAGTAGATTTTAAAATTTTTTTTTACTATAATTTTCTGAGTAACATGTTGAATAATTGATTTCAAGACAGTATAGCCCTTTTTAGTTTGTTGAATATGCACACTGTTTGGACTGACTGATTGTGTAAGCAGGAAAAATACAGATTCCTTACTTCTGAAGAACCACCTCTCTGTGATGGTCAATAAATGAAAGCATATCTTGCTTTCATTGTTGTAGGTAAGCACCTGAGCCTTAGCAGTTATAACATGCTCCCTTTGGCTAATAAAATAGCAACCTTTCTGTGTCAGCTGAGCCACCGGGCAGAAAATGTACCACCATGTATGCTATATTGAAGTAATCTATTCTGGAGATGATAAAAGCATGTGTAATTGGCTAGCTTCATAATAATCAAATCTGGAGGGCCATGGGGAAGGTACTTCTGGAGGTACATTCTCCTTTCAGGATGCCGGAGTAAGTCAGGTTCACGAATTCACAGAATCACAGAATAGTTGAGGTTGGAAGCCTCTGGAGATCATCTAGTTCATCTTCCCTGCTCAGAGCAGGGTTAACTAGAGTAGATTACCCAGGACCATGTTCAGTTGAAAGTTAAAAAAAAAAGTTTTCCTATGTTCAGATGGAATTTTGTGGTTTTGAATTTACGGCCATTGCCTCTTGTCCTGTCACTGGGCACCAATGAGAAGAGCCTGGCTCAGTCTTCTTTATACCCTCCCTTCAGATATTTATATACATAGGTAAGATCCCTTCTGAGCCTGCTTTTCTCCAGGCTGAATGGTCCCAGCTCTCTCAGATTCTCCTCTTACGAGAAATGTTCCAGCCCCTTAATCATCTTCATGACCCTTCGCTGGACTTTCTCATAGAATCATAGAATATCTCGAGTTGGAAGCAACCCATAAGGATCATCGAGTCCAACTCTCTGCTCCCCGCAGGACTACCTAAAACTAAGCCATATGACTAAGAGTGCTGTCCAGATGCTCCTTGACCTCTGACAGGCTTGATGCCATGACCACTTCTGTGGGGAGCCTGTTCCAGTGACTGACCACCCTGTCAGTGAAGAAACTTTTCCCAATGTCCAGTTCTCCAGTATGTCCACATCTCTTTTGTGCTAGGGAGCCCAGAAGTGGACACAGTGCTCCATGTGTGTCTCACCAGTGCTGAGTACAGAGGGGAAGGATCACCTCCCTCAACCCACTGGCAACAGTCCTCCTAATGCAGCCCAGGATGCTGTTGGCCTTTTTTGCTGCAAGGGCACATTGCTGGCTCATGGTCAACTTGGTGGCCACCAGGATCCCCTGAGCTGCTTTCTGCCAAGCTGCTTTCCAACTGTTCAGCCCCCAGGATGTATTGGTGCATGCGGTGCAGGACTTTGCACTTGCCATTGTTGAACTTCATGAGGTTCCTGTCAGCCCATTTCTCCAGCCTGTCAAGGTCCCTCTGGATGGCAGCATGACCCTCTGATGTATCAGCCACTCCTCTCAGTTTTGTGTCGTCAGCAAACTTGCTGAGGGTACACTCTACCCCCCATCCAGATCATTAATGAAGATATTGAACAGAATTATTGGGCTGATTTCAGGTTTGGTTTTCATAGCACATAGTAGTTAATAATGTATTCATTTATCACTTTTGATTGTGTCCAGGAACATTATTGCATATTTTGCTGCTAGAACAACATTTCTACTTTTTGAGGGTGCATTCTCACTCTATCAGCAATATGTTAGAAATGTTCTAGCCGCCTTCTCTCTGTGACATTTTCTATTGCAATATTTCCCCCCCCTTCTGCAGCTTGCTTTACACTTCAAGACAGAAGGTTCAAGTCTGATTCCCTTTGGAAACTAAGCTGTATGAGTAAATATTACTTTTTTTTTTTCTCGTGTATATTTGCAGGAAGTGCTGTTTTAAAGAAGAAAATGTGCTGTATATAAACACCTTTCTGTCTTCATTCTCAGGATTTGCTTCTGTGCCAGTGAAAGGGAGTTGCTGTTCATATTCTAGCCTGGCGTGGGCTTTCCAGACACAGTGTTCCATCTCTGCCCCCTGGAATGTGACAGTCAAGCAATGCAGACAAAGCAGTTTCTTCAATACGTGTAAGTCTTGAGTTGGATTAAAATTATTATCTGTAGTAAACAGAAGAAGGAAAGAAAATTTTGCTTTGGAGAGATACAGTCATGCAAATCTATGTATAGTAACTTTTTGCATCTACTCTAGTTACATGTCTCCTAACATTATAGTTGCAACTACAGCTATTGACAGAAGTGCGTGCACAAGGTCAGTTTATTATCTTTTAATAGCAAGCAAGGGTTTGATTTATGTCACGGTGAATCCATCTAATATACGTCATTGGATGGAAGGGGGAAACACCTTGCCCTCTGTTTCGTAGTCCTTTGTTGAGAATATAAATTGTGTGTTTATTTTCCAAATTATTTTTGAGCCACAGGCAAGACATACTGTTCAAGCTGTGCTGTCTCAAAAATGAAATAACTAAAATGCAATAATGTGTTAAACAAAAACTGTTGATAATGTCCTGCTAATTGTCTGCACAGCTGCAGTATTTTCCTCCAGTCCTGAAAGGAATTACACACATGCTTAACATAATTGAGAAATGATAGCTGTTTAAATTCACGCTTGGGATTGTGAACTGAGGTAGCTGAGGGGCCATTCCACATGTTTTGCAGTTCCTTATGCTGTCCCATAGGGGAAGAGAAGAAATAGTAAGAACGTAATCTCTGGAGGGGATAACTGCAGCAGTTTGAGAGTCAAAGTTCTTTGTTTATAATCAATAGAATGTAAGAGCTCTGCAAAATTAGGCTTTCAGAACTGGTGGTCTCTTCCTATTCTTCTCAACATCGGAGTGGCAGAATACTGTATGTGTTTTCTTTACGTTTGCTAAAGAACTGGGGTTTAAGCAGTCATGTTGGCTGGCTGTTCGTCTTATCCAGTAAATTTTGACTGAGGGTAGAGAGGTCTCAAAAGACCTGCAAAAGGTTGCAGTGTGAACAAGAGGGTCTGCACGGTAAAGGTTTTCTAAGGATGCTAACTGCAGGAAAAATTAATTTAAAACTTAGCCACCCAAGCAGTCACAAGATAAGAATATGTAAGAAGCTAAGCACTGTTGTTGTTCTGTTTATCTTAATTTTAAAATATAGCACTGCAAGTGATTGCAATGTGATTACAATTTGTAGGTTAGGTGTTTCCTTAATTATGCTTATGTTCATATTCACAAAGTCTAGATGTTTTGCCAGCTGTCTTGTTAGATGATTTAATTAAAAATGTTTGTTAGATGAGTGAATTAAAAATGTTTGTTGTGATGGCATCCCCATTGTTTGACTTAATAAAATTTTAAATAAGTTGTATCTAGGCAAACTACCTAAAACTATTGGCTTAATTAGTAAGATGTAACAACTTGGAAGAATTTAAGTTTACCTCCTTTATGTATTCAGCAGAGACAGTAGCCATCAGATTCGGAAGACTGAAGGTTTTTATTTCAAAGTAGTTATTCTAAGAACAGATTCTCTTACAGAAGTAAAAAATAAAATCTTCAAAATTCAAATGCAGTAGATATTAACAGTATAAATCGCTCATATCCTCTAGCAGTGCAGTTGCTTCACAAGTGGTAACATTAAAAATGCAGATATGACCATTTTATGTGAAACAATTTTCAAGTGAAATGTCAACCAAATGACAGTCCTTTGTGACTGAGAAAGGTGACTACACTTTTCTGTCTCATTAGTGAAGGTTTACTTCTCTTCCATCATACTTTAAAAAATATTAACATGCTCTTGTTAGTTGGGTCATCTGTACCTTCAATTTAACTATTAAAAACAGTTTAACTCATTTAAATAGAAGGAATTGCAATTATCCTAGGCAGTCTGTGATCCTTACCCAGATAGCTGTCTCCTGCAACTCTAACAGAAACATACACAGGGGTTTATTCTTGTCCAATGACATATTTCAGTGAGTTTGTAATGAAGTGATTTTAAAATGATCTTGTTATTCCAGGCTTAGCCTCTGTTCCTCCCTCCTTTCCCCTTTCCACCCTCCCCACTATGGGAAGCAGTTCAGTTTCCATTTACTTAACAATTTCACATGCTTATTTAGAGATATGGAAGGGCCTGAGGTTTTTCAGATCATGTTTAAAAAAGAAATAACTTCCTCTGAAAAGTTTACCTCCTTTTGCAATGTGTTTCAATAGACCTGGTATTTGCAGATAATGTCTTGCTTGTGCCTATTTCAGTCCAGCTTTTGTCTGAGAGGATAGGGCAGATCTTTTTTCCTTACCTGTAAGTATATTTACGTGCTCTTATGTACAGGCACACAGCCTGGGAAATACCCACCAATCCAGACTTTCTGAACAGATGCTTAAGTTTCAGTTGTAGAGAAACATTGATAGAAAGTGCTATATGTTTAATGGAAGAAGTATGTATCTGTCTGCCCTGTAGATGAGGAAAATGTGAGATATAGACCATTTAAATTTGATAGCCACAGAATTGAGTTGAAATACATGGGCTGTCATTCCTGAAGGCAGCAGAGGCACACAGATGTGTCATGAATACTGAAATGATTTGGCTGTCTCCCAGCCATAGGAGTTATCTTTGACCCTAATCATCCAAACTAGCAAGCATAATTTTCTCAACATCCATTGTGTATCTGAGTGTATGTGAGAATAGAGAACTTTTATTTGATACTGGGACTATATAAAAATTATGCTTTCCTGCTCACAGTATTAATTCCATTAGCTACCCTTGGGAACAAATGAAAAGAAGAACTTAATTTCTCTGTTGCTAGGTGATGTTTCCTCTTAGGTTAGAATATGGAATAAGGAATACGATGATTTTTCAGCGGTTATAGAACTAGATTGTAACAATCAAGGGAGAATCATTTAGACCAACAATATAAAATCATACTCAGAGTAACACGTTTTGTCTCTAGAGGCTTTGCTTACTAGAAGCAGTTGTACTCAGTATAAATATCTGTGTTTGTGTTCTTTTTTGGAAACATCAGTTCCTGAAAGCCTGCTCCTTAATTACGTTTCATATTAAATTTTTGTAGTCCTATGTGAGTTTTCTTTGGATTAAATTGTTCATTTTTTCTGCTGTTCCTAATTTGAGAATCAGAGTGAAAATATGATTTTTTTTTTTTAATTTTTAAAGAGTTTTTCTTTAAGTATGAACACTCCAGATAAATAATTACTGAGTTACCACTTGTCATTGTCAGTAGTAACATATGAAGAGTTTTGATGTTTCAGCATTAAGAATGTAAAGACCTCCAAATATACAACTGCCTTTTTTTTTTTTCTCCCCAAGGGGGATGCCTGTGTGTGCATGTGTGTTGAAGAATAGTTGGTTAATTGTTTTTAGTCAGAAAAAGGGGAGTGAATATTAAATGCCTTACAGTTAATTGTACTAATGGGGGGGCTATTTAATTGGGTTTTAATTTGTTGTTGTGCAGTGTAACTTTTGTGAAGGCACTTGACCTCTGGTTTTTATTTTGTTTTGAGGAAATGAATCAGGCCAATGGTGTTTAGTTTGCAAATATCACTAAAATCTCTGTTCTCCATATCCATCTGGTGACACTGAGGCCAGCTTCGTAATACTTATTATTTAAAAAAAAAAAAAAGCTGCAAATGAAAGCTTTAATCATCAAAGCAACCTTCAAAAGATAGTAGCATTTACAAAAACATTATTAGCTAAGTTAAGGTCTTGGTTTTTTGATAAGATGTTATGAAGAAAAAAAGAAAATTTCTCAGATGTTTGTCAGGATAAATTACAGCAGTTTTGGTTCTTTGTTTAAGCTAACAAGTTTTTAGTCTGTTAATGACTGGGTTTGTAGCTGGATTTATTCAGGATTTGAATTGTGATTAACCTGAAAGTGCCATGTCTGTAATTTGCTGCTGACATTGTGCTAAATTGCCAGTTTTAAAAAATGTGAAATTCTAATGCCAAGTGCACTGTGAAAGTGTGCTCAAGGTTTGCAGTGCAGTGGAGTTATTGTCACTGTGTCTGTGTAGCAGTATGAATGCATCTTTCAGAACAATATTTTCAAGCTGCAGAGGTTTTGTTGTACTGTCATAATGCAATAGATTTGTTTCTGGGTTTGGGGAAGTTGCCCAAAACTTTCCCATGCTGTCTTATGGGAATAATAGTTAGATTATAGAGACATCTTTTGCTGCCAACAAATTTGCAGACACACCTAAATTCTTTTCTGCAATCCACATAATGAGAACTTTTGCATTTTTTTATGATACATTAAACTTCTATGAATAAGCAGGTAGCCCCCTAGAGCTTCAGCCTTGTATTAGCAAAAAAACCTGGAAGCCAGAAAGTTTGTTAGTAGATGAGGTTTTTTCCTGTTTCACTATTGTGGAAATCCAGCTAGCAGTGAGAAGTAGAAATGAGCTTAAGTTTTCAGTGGAAACATTTCATATATGTACAGTTCTAATTTTTGGTCTGTGAAGTTCATCTAAAACCGTCTTATATCTGTCCCATGGTACTAATCTCTTACGTCGCCTCAGGTTCCTCTTTAAGGTCTTGCAATAGACCTTGTCTTTCTCAGACATTGTGAATGTCCAGATTCTTGCAGTTCCGCAGTTAGATACCACCTACTATCCAAATTAATTTTGAGTGAGTCGGTAGTGGGCTGTCTAGGCTGAATGCTTTATATTCTTCACTACTTCCTAGGTTTGAATAAAGACCCTGTAGAGCTAACAGATAATATCCTCAGAAGATGAGTTGTGAAGAGGAATATGTATTTTGCTAAAGCAACCCTTTGTTTAAGGCATCACTTGGCAGGGGGAAGTTTTTTATCTTATTATCTTTCAGCAGAATTCAACATCAGATATGGATCATAAACTTCCATTTAGAATGTAAGGCATCTCTTTTGCAGTTGAAGGAAACAATGTTTTGAGCGTGGTCACTTAGCAAACTTGAAAGTAATCCATCACTATATCTCATTTCTTATGGATCCACGCTTTTCTGCTTGCAGACTGGGATTAGACAGGGAGTCAAGAAACTGTGATGTCACATGATGGCAGACAGTTGCAGTTTGGAGATAAAGGAGGTAGCAAGGGCAGTTCTCATTTGGGATGAAC